TGCTCCTGGCTTTTTCTGTAGGTGCTGGGGGTGGAGCTCAGGTCCTCATCCTTGCACAACAAGCACTGACTGACTCAGCCATCTCCCCGGCCCCCAAAGGACAATTTAAAAATATTTTTTATATACTTATCATGCAGACATTTAAAAGAATGAAAAGTTCTGTCCATTCTGGTCACAGTGGATAAGAACATAGGTTTGAGCAGGTGTAGTAGCACACGTCATCCCAGCTCTGGGAAGACTGAGGTAGAAAACTGTGGAGGCCTTCCTGGGGTACACGTGAGTTCAAGGTCCTCCTGGGTTATGAAACTTTACCTCAGAATGAAAGTAAAAGCAGGATGACAGAGCTGACTTTGCAGCCCTGTGACAGAGGTATCCTGTGGTGCTACCTAGTCAGTCGGACCCTGAATCAAGTGAGTAAAACAGAACAGGTTTGGGGTGCTGACAGCATAGTTCAGTGAGAGAAGCCTGTTTAATATGCATCGGGCCTTGGGGCCCATTCCCAACACACCCAGGCAAAAGGAAACGAGAATGCAGACTCTACCCCACTCTGTCTCAAATCTCCACTCCTCATTTACTTTCTGGTTTGTGGCTGTATCCCTGAATCAACCTAAGTCCTAAAAACCCCACTTCACAAACTGTTGAGAGGATTATATGAGTCCAGTACTTAATTTCATGCCAGGAAGAATTAGTATTATATTAGCTATGATTGTTATCAGTGCTATGGAAGGGGTACTTGTGATATATTATATGGTGCAATGATAATACATACTAATATGTATAAAATACTCCACTTTTTGGTTAAAACAAAAATCTCAGTGTACATCTATGCAGATGATTTGTTCATGGGGAGGACTGAGATGATGAACTAAGTTGCCAATTATTTTTTATCTAAAGGCTAAAATTGCCTCTCTCACTGCCCTTACTTATATTTAGTTTTTATCTGGGATGGCTATGAAAGGATCCACTTGAAATTAAGGAAATTCACTTTCCCTAGCCAGTCGCTGTGAGACAGACTCAGGTCTCTTTAAGCTCACCTTTACTAGGTGTTGAATACTCTTAAACACTGTGAGTTAAGTACTGGCACATGATAGGCCTTTAATGTAAATACTCTTTGATGGTTTTCCCTTTTAAATGATCAAAGTTGTCATGACTGTACTACTCACCACTTGACAGACAACTGTCAGACTCTCCCATGTATCGGACTGCTGTGAGTAGGAACTATCAATCAAGCAGTTCCTTTTAGAGGACTACAGCAAGAAGGCTATCATGTCGGCCTGGCTGCTTTGAATATTCCTTGGAAACTGAGGAAACTCAACTGTAGTTCTGAGGGCCATTGTGATGACAGCTGCTCAAGAGGTCTCATTTTAGTCATGTCTGTCCAGCTCTTGGAGACTTCACTTTCATCAAGACAAGCCTCAGTGACCTCGTGATCATGTTCACTATCCTGCTGCCAAATCTTCCTAGGCCGGGGGAGGGGAGGGCACCGCACATTCCTTGGTGACTCAGCAAAAAGCTCATAAATGACACACACAAACCAGGCTCATGATTGGTAAAGATGCAAAGCTCTAACTGGTGGAGTTAGAAGGTGCTCCTAAACACGCCACCGCCCTTTCTGGCTATAGAAGTCATGGGTTCTTTTTCAGTGTCATGGGGTCAGGTTTGAAGGCTTTTCCATGTATTACTTCTGTATATATTAGGCTCCAATTAAAATCTCCCGAGTGGCCTTTCTTTGCCCAGATAGTGTTTACTGTAGGTAGAGTGGGCTGAACTTGTACGGAGAGAAGACAGCAAGTGGTGCTCAGCCCCAGTAGTGACACTACAGAATTTGTGGCGGCAGCAGCAGAAGTAACAAACTAGCTGGAGAGCCCCAGAGAGAGTCCCCAGGCAGGAAACTGTAGAGAGCAGAGCCCAAAGGTGAGAAACTGAAGAGCTGAGCCAGTGAGGTTGCAAGCCCAGATCCATGGAAGACTTCCAGAGAGCTGACAAGAGTTAAGAGCTGAGGGTCCTGATAATTGAAGCCTTGGCATTGTAACACTGGCTGTTAGGTTCTGTGCCTAGAGCAATAGCCTCTGACCTGAGCTCCTAAGGTTGCAAGAATCTGGCAGAGGAGTTTTGGAGCAAAATGTCTCTGGCTTTGAAAGATGCAGCTTGCTTTGACTTGAGCACTTACCTACATAATATAAGCCATTAGTTTAAGTTATAGGCCTTAGGGCTCCGGGACTGGAGCTATATGCCTCTGGGTGTTTTAGGCCTCTAATGTTCAAGAGCCCAGAAATGATAACATTAAGAAAATTTTTCTTGCTACTTTTTTTTTTTTTTTTGGAGATTTTATTTTTAACTGTTGTTTTAATTTCCTCAGAAGAGGGGATGAGATAAGAGCCATATCCAAGCTTTGCAAATACATGGCTTGGGCTCAGCCCAGACTGTTTCTATCTAGGCATAGGCCTGGAAACTTTTAGACTTTGTACAATCTAATCTTCTGCAAGGGTTGGCTTCCAGACTTAGTCTGCTAACCTAGGCCCAGAATGCTTTCAACCTCCAAGACTTACTGCTGAATAAGCTCACATTTTCTAGTTCTTTCTGAACTCTGGCTGGCTGGTTCAACTCAGCTGTTCTGGGTTAAAACACCTCTCTAAGCTGACTGATTCCAACTTGCTTCTCTCTGCTTCTCAATGAATTGCTTTGCTTTGAAACCTTAACTCCACGAACTTAATTGTACTCAACTGTACTGTCTCCAAGAACTCGCCTTTCTCTGTGCTGCTTCTAAGTAGTTTCTCTTTCCTGTCTATTCTTGGGAGAGTTGGGCATAGCCCATTTCTGACTCATTCTTTCAAATCTTTCCCTGATTTGCCACTTTGTCTGTCCCTTAATTAGACACCATTGTTTGGGACTAAAGGTGTGAAATGGTGTGTCTACATTGCAGCCAGATCACACAAACCTAGATCTTTGGATGTCATCCATCCCTTGACAGAGTAGCCATGTTGCTGGATTAAAATTTCTGACATTTGTTTTTGTTTTATGTGTATGGGTGGTTTGGCAGCACATATGTCTGTGAACCCCATGCATATAATGCCTACAGAGGTCAGAGGAAGGAGTCAGATGCATCCTAGGAACTGAACCGGGTCCTCTGGGAGAGCTGATTCCAGAATCACGCTTTTAAGCACTGACCCATCTCTCCAGCCCCCATTCTTGCCATTCTTGAACATCCAAATAGATAGAAAGACACTCAGCCGGCCTCTCATGATATCTGAAATATTTTAATACAGTATAGAAGTAGGAAAGTTTAATGTATCAAACTGCTTACAAGTTTTGGATTCTTCCTGCGGAGTAGTAATGAGGGGATCGTGGTATGGGGAGGGGTAGAGACGTTTCTATACTTCAGTATTGCTTATAAACAGTTCATTGTACACTTACTTAGAAGGAAATGCCAAACCAAAGAGCAAGAATGTTTACTAAAGGACTGAGGCTCAAGCAGCACAAACCTATATTCAGTTTCAAGTCTCCGGAAGGCAGAGGCTGGAGTTAGGGAGCTAGGACATCAGTCTGGACAGCATATGAGACAGGTGGGGATGAGAGCCAGGGTGGGGAGGTTAATATACTATTAAGTCATTAACAAAAGTGATTGTTGGTAACATAAAGTTCTTTGAATTAACATTGAAAAGTGTTTATGGGGGTTGAAAATATTTACCCAAAACCTTGATCTCACCTGTGTATATTCTGCCAGACTGACAAAATATCTGACCATTTACAACGAGTAAAAATATTTTTGGCTTAGAGTGTTAGAGGTTTGGTTCTGGGTCACTTTGTTTCATTGCTATGGGCTTGAGGTGAGGCTGGACAACATGGCAGGGTGTATGTGGTGGATAAAGCAGCTCCTCTCATGGCAAATAGGAAGCAGAGACAGGAAGAGGCCTTGCAACACAGTCCCAAAGGCCACACCTCCAGTGACATACTTCCTTCATATAGCCCCACCTCCTGCCTTTCCACTGGCAATGAAGCTGGGAAAGCAGTGTTAAACTCAGGACGTAATTACTGTCCCAGAGTCTATCAGCTGGGAAAACAAGCGCCAGCAAGAATGTAGGGTATAGTGCATAGTCCAGCCTTATCACTATCAGCCAGGCTGTCCGTGTGTGCAGAGACAAGGTCTTGAAGCACCAGCCAATCCGACATTTCGTAACTTTTCTCTTGGGTGAGGTAGCTGAACTAGGAGGAAGCTGAACTCCTATTTTACAATATTCCAAATCATTTACATTTATGGAACTACAAAGATAATTACAAAGGCAATGTGAGTTTTTGTAAAAGGAGAAACAAACACGGGAAGTAATATCGTGTTTGTTGCTGTCTCGTACTTGCCTATGTTACATTCTGATCAGCATGTATTCAAATTTCAAGGCATTATTTTATGGCCCTAGGGATTCCATTTTCGGGGAATACGTGGAATTTCAGTTTATTTAAGATCTCGACTTTTTTCCCCCTCTAAAAACGTATTTCATCAGGCACCTAATTTCCTACAGCGTTATCATGGAATCCCTCAATCTGAGTTACACTTTCCAACCGTACACGACCTCGTGGACACACAGGCTTAAAGTTAAGAAAGTCGGGGTTTCCACTCAACCCCCGGTGAGAAAGGCACGCCAAGCCTCGGTGGCTCAGGTCGCGCGGGCCCCTGGCCTCCCCGGCCCGCTCGGGGGGGCCGACGTTAGCGGGGCGAGCATCCCCGCGCGCCCAGCTCCCGGCGGGTCCCCCGCGCCCACCGCTCGGGGCCGCTCGGGGGCCCGCCCGAGTCGGCGCGGCGCCGGCGAAGTTCGGCAGGAGGCGCAGGGCGGGGCTTCCTCCGCCGACTGCGGCCCCGCTCGACTTTCCCGAGTCCACGTCTCTTCCTCCGTCCGGGCGCGTGTTCCTCCGGCTCGGGGCCGGGCGGACGCGCGCGGCAGCCGCGGACCCTCAACGCCTCGCCGGGGCCGCGCGCCTCGGGGACCTGTCGGCGGAGGCCAGGGCGGCCGGGCCGCACGCGGGCTGGTCGGGCGCGGCGGCCGAGCGGCAGCATCCCGGGCCATGGAGACCGGCTCCGACTCAGGTCAGGGGCCGCGTGCGCGCGCGCGCGGGCGAGCGGCCGCGGGA